GCTGTCGTCCCCCTATTGGACTTGCTGGCTGTGGGTTACGAACGTGCGTTTTAAAATCTCCCCGGTTCAAACTTCACCTTTTGGAACGACCGGTGTGCAACAGCCGACGACCCTGTCGGAGAGAGATGTGTGTGACGGAGCCCGCCGAGGCAGGGCGGGATCATCAGCGCGGGGCCACGAGAGGGCACCGCGACACCGGGCTGTGCCTGCGGTGCCTGTCCCCTCCGGCCCCAAATCCGGGTGTCCCGTAGCGTGCAGGGACCGCGCCGAGCATCGCCAAGCGCCGAGGAGCGACGCGCTCCCAAACAGCGCGGCAATATTGACATCTGTCGTATTAAAACCTATTTCTGGCTTTCTAATAAAAATCGAGCGTGAATTCCTCAGCATTGACAGGGTACCCAAGTGCAGCTTTATGTCCTTTTTAGGGAATGTACTGAGAGAGACTTTATTTAACTTGCTATATGTCATTGCTTCCCAAATGACTGCATGAGGGACTTCAAAATGAGGCGGGGTTTGAAATGCACACATCAGCTTGGTCATGGGAGGAAGCATTAAGTGATGTGTCAGATGTGCTCGAGAGCTCCTCTTAGAGCTGTTCGGGGAGCCTTGTGACTTATGATAAGATTCAAGGCTTCATTCCTTTGAAGTGATCAAAATTAGTCATTTCCTTTCCACCCTCCTGGTTCCTACTGGTAGTTATGGAGGCTTTGCAGGTAGTCCTGCAGCACAGGGTTCTGTGATGGCCTTTTGTTGCTTGAACCCAGAGCACCACGTGTTTGGATTCCTTTAGCTGGCTCTATTTTTTTTTTTTTTTTTGCCCATAAACTCTTTCAGATTTCAGGACTCCATCCAGCTGACCAGGCCGTGTTGCAGTTCCCATCAGGCCCCTTAGACCGACTGACTATTGTGCATGGGAAAAGTATGAGCATTTGGGAGCCATCAGATGAGCTGCACATGTGCAGGCCACATGGACACCACCAGAGCAGGGTGTCCTGTGTTCCTCAGACGTGTCACACTCCCTACCCAGCGTGTGCAGATGCAGAACTGCCCGGGAAGTCCCCAGCAAGCCATGTGGTGACGTCATGGATGCCACACCATGTCATTTAGCTTGGAGTGAACTGCAGACACTGGTGCTTGTATACTTTGTGAAGAACGTGTTGGAGGTTCGAAACTGTCTAGAAGAAGGGGTTTTCTTTCACTTACCTCTCCCCAAGAAGCTGCCATGATGGTTTGGTTTTGCCCACCCTGCTCCCAGAACTCAGCTCTGCTTGACTGTGAGTGGTTTTGATGGTGCAAAGGCAAGGTGGAGTTGATGAGAATGTCAGTGGTGTGTTCAGGAAAGAATTGCTTAGGAGACAGCACTCTCAACATCTGCTTAGTAAATGCTCTCCCATGCTAAGAGGAAAAAACAAAATTATTTTTTTCTGACTTGAAAACAATAGATTACGTAAAAGTATTGATGTATTAAATAGTTCCAAATTGAGGCAAAGATATGCTAAGTAGTGAACTACTCATTTGCTAAGAGAAACTGCTATATTTCCTATTGCAGAAGCAGCAGGCAAGATTTCAATCCCTGCTGAGCAGACAGCACACCTTTGATAGTCATCTTGTTTGTAAGGGGTTTTACATATATGGAAATGTTGGTAGTGTTGAATACTTGAGGAAACAGTATAGATAAAAGCTGTCCAGCTTTAGATGGCTCCTAAAAATAACTTGTCTAAGTTGGTATAAATACAAATAAGCAACACTTTCTATATTCCAATGATTTGATAATCTGTAGTTTGGTGTAACACGTGTTGTGCTGACCTTTGCCAGCTCCATACAAAGAGATGAACAGGGACTTGTTTGCTGACTTCTGGCAATTGCAGGGAGCTGGAAGTCATTGTACAATAAGTGTGAGTGTGTAAAAATAAAAAACCAAACCAGCAGAGATAATACTCTGCTTCACTGTGGTTTGTGTTGAGATTGTAGCTATCTCCTTTTAAGAGCTGTTTTAACTGCAATGTAGGAAAACATACCTCTTACTTTTTTAACAATTAAATATATTTGAAGGATAGGCTTGGCTTTCACTTATTTTTCTGTCGTTTAGTCTGGTTCATTTGTCTTTTTCAGGGAAATGTTGTTCTGAGGGATTAGCAGTGAAGCAAGGAATATACTGACTGCCTTGGATGACAGTGTTGAAGAGGTTTTAAGGGTTTTTTTCCAGCATTTCTTAGAAATTGAAATTCATCACAGTTATGAAAAATAACACCAGTAATGTTTGCATTACCTGTAATCATATTTATTTAGTACTCAACTGCTTCTGTCCCTCAGTCCGGAGGCGAGGGGTGTGCTCCTCTCCTTCTGGCCATTTTTGTAGCTGGGAAGATGATCCCTGGTAAACTAGAACAGGAAAAAAAAGCCTTTCTTTGGAATGATGTTTCCTGGCTGCCAAGCCAAGTCAGGTTCCAACAAAAGTATTTTCACTGCTCGCCTGAGCTCAGGGCGTGCACCGGAGTCTGTGCGGAGGAGACTGCAGAGCTTTTGCAGCACTTTGTCTCCCTAAGCAGTGTCATTTCTGCCTTGCCTGGTCTGAACCAGCTGTTCCTTGTTCAAGAGCTGATCCCTTGTAGACTAACACTTGATGGAGGGCGTTTTCCTCCGAATAGATAGCGCTGAGTGTCAGTGACATGCCTGGAGCTTGGCTGGGCTGTTGCCCTCTTGAGAGCTAAAGGAGAGGGATGTGGTTCAGGCCCCTCTGTTATCTCTGCAGCTTTGGGCACTGCAAGGCTGGAGGGTTGTGGCTTTGCCCCCTACTTAGTGTGTTTCTGCTGGTGGGTCAAGTCCTTTTCCTCTGGGAAAGGAGAGGTTAATTTGGGGATCCACACACCCCCACAAGCTTTTGGGTTCTGTGGGTTTGGGAGAGATGGTGGGGGGATAGTGTTTTCTAATCTTTCCTGAAAAAGCATAAAGCAGCCACTTGAAGGGGTGACAGCTGAGTCCCCCTGGGCACTTTGAAGCCTGGTGTCACTTGCCATTGAGCCTTCTCACGTGTACTGATAGAAAAGGACCACTTCACTGAGCTTTGTGTTGTCATGGAAGTGGTTCAGTCTTCTGGCTTGATCAAAGCAGTTTCTATACACAAATGCAATTCCTCATGTAAATAACTCACTCTTAACTGAGAAAAAGCACTTTCTTGGTTTTTCAGACAAAGACCAGGAGAGGTGAAGGTTAACTTGTGGTCCTGCTTGTGCTTTTTGGCAGATTTGCCTTCACAGGGAAGAGCTCAGGTTCAGAGAAGGCAATAGATTAGTAGCTGCTCTGCTGGCTGTAAAGGAGGGTACTCCACTGGTTTGGGCAAGGCCAGCTGTCCAGGTGGGCAGGAATGCCTCAGATAATTCCAAATCCCACTAATCAAAACATGAAAAAAAAAATTTTGCCAAAAATTGAACAGGTATTTTTGCACACTGAAAGGCCGTGTCCATACCTTGTGGTGAACCTCTTACAGTGGTGTTTTTTCTACAAGCCTTTCACTTAAAATACTAAATATTTATATATATATACTAAATATTTATGTATTAATTAATATTATTGAGTATTAGGACTCAGAACCTGAGTCCTAATGTAACTTAGCCTTGTCACATCTTTGAAGGGTCGTGAGGGCTGTGTGGTCATGCTGGCCATGATCCTTGTTGAAAATGTTTCCCTTCCTACAGGATCAGATCCTGGACTCCTTGTAGTCATGGACCACAAGTTTGTGATGTAGATAAAGAACAGATTATCTGGGTAGTCAAGTAAGTTAGGCATAAACATGTCTTTTGAACTATTTTTGCGTGTGCAAAATAAGGAACAAGGTATATTGAAACAGGCAGGTTTTCATGATGTGCATAACAAGCTTTTTTTTGGGTCAGGGGGTTGCTGTGTGTGTGGTGCACTACAGGGAGCCCCTTCCTGCTAATGGACCAAGACTTACTTTTTAAAAAAAACACCTTTTTGTGCATCTCTCAAGACTTGCAATTTTCTAAGTGATCTCTAACCACTATAACATTTTTAGGGTGTGCTGCGTTTTCTTTGGTCCACCTTAGGTAAGACATTCTGAGCCTCACACTGCACTAAGGGTGGACTCACCGAGCACAGGCACCTTGTTTGGTCCTATTTATAGAAAATTTGTCTGAGTTTTAACTTGGTGCTGAACTTGAGCGCTCGAAGCACAGCAGTGGCCGGGGCGGGGTCCCGGGGCAGGAGTGGGTCGGGCGGGAGCAGGTGAGTCCCGGGAGCACCAGCCGCGGTCCTGGGGCAGGTGAGCGGGGCTTGGAATCAGTCGGAGCGCGGGAGGGAAGGTGCCGGTTCCGGAGAGTCCCGGTAACACCGGCGGAGGTGCCGATGTAGGTCTCGGTACAGGTAAGCAATGGGAGCGCCGCTGGGGGGGGGTCCCGCTGCAGGTGAGGGGTCCGGCCGCAGCGGAGGTCCCAGCGCAGGTGAGCCCGGGGAGCCCCGGCCCAGGCCCCGCCGCCGCCGCCAGGGGGTACTCGGGGCGAGCGAACGCGGGGAACAAAAGGCGGCGGGGCGGGTTGGTTCCCCGCGGCCGGAGCGGGGGAAACGCGGGGCCGGTTCCCGGAGCCTTCCATCCCGAAACCCCAACCCGGGTACCGGGGGCGGGCTGGCCCGGGCTCCGCCAGCCGCGTCCCCCCGGCGCGGGCTGTGAGCGGGGGCGGCAGGGACGGGCCCGCAGGGCTCAGCCGGAGCTCCCCCCGTGTCCCCCCGGGGCTGTCCCGCCGCCCGGCCCCCCTCGGGCCGGTGTCCCCAGCGCGGCCCCGAAGTTGCGGCCCCCGAAGTTGAGCGGGCGGTGACGTCAGGCCGGGCGGCCAATGGAGCGGCGGGCGGGGGGGGGGGGGGGGGGGGGGGGGGGGGCGCGGCGGCCGCTCCATCCCCGCACCGCCATCCCCGCACCGCGCACAGCCCGGCTCCGCTCCCGCACGGACACAGCGCCGCACGGCCCGCCCGGGGCCGGCACGCAGCGCCCCGAGCAGCCCCCGGCGGTGGCGGTGGCCGAGCAGCAGCCCCCTCCGCGGGGTTACCTGCCCGGCCCAGGTGGGGCGGTGCGGAGCGGAGGAGGCTGTTTTGGAGCGCGCCGCCGCTTCTGATGGATGTTTTGTGTGCGTTTGCCTCCGCTCCCGGGTTCTCTTTCATCTGAGGACGCGTCTGGCTCGAGCTCTGTTAAACTATCTGCCTTCTGGTACCGGCCGTAGATAACAGAAAGAAACCTGAGCCCGAAAGGCAATTCCCCACCTTCTTCCACCTAACGTGACCTTCTCGGGCGCCTTTGAAGGTTTGCTGGTGCTCCGGCGATGATGGCAGTGGTGGGTTCCCTTGGGCTGTACTAAGAGCCTCTTGTTTTCTTTTCCCTTTCTTAGAGGCATTTCATCTTTAAGGGGCCGGCTGCTCGCGCACACTTTTATACCCACTGAAGCTATCAAGAAACCATGTTGTGTGGTGGAAGAAGTGCGTTTCTTTGCCTTGGAATGATCTTGAGCGTTTGGAGCTCCGTGACTTGGATGCCTGTTGGAGGATGCCCGCATAAATGTACATGTATTGCTTCCAACGTGGATTGTCACGGACTGGGACTCAGAACTGTACCGAGGGATATTCCCAGGAACGCGGAGAGACTGTAAGTAAAACCGTTAAGGGCTCCTCGAGTGCTTGTAGGAACACCTGGGACGAGTTTCCCAACACCTGCCTATCAGTGCAGAGTACTTAGGAACAGGAGTTTCGGTAATCCAACACGGATTAATGTTTTCAGGAGGGAAGGGGAGGAGCTTTTTCAGGAGTTACAGCGATCCTGCCGCTGTGCCTTTTCAAATAAACGATCGGTTTCAGAGTTTCACGTTTTTTAAGTTTCAGTTACCGTCTGGTTGGGTTTTGCAGTGACTTGCTTGCAGTGGAGCTGGGAGCCGTACCTGGAGTGCTCCCCGCTGTAATCGTTGTCAGTGCAAACACCAATTTAATATGCAATTAGAAACCTGGATGTTTTCACCTGGTGGCTGGTGGCAGTTTCTCCTTACTCTCTCAGTATGGCGATTTCATCACCGTGAAAAAACCGCCTGCTGCCGTAAACTAATTCAAGTGGAGAAGAAGTCACATTAAACAGCGTCTAAATTCCTCTTTTAAACTGCTGCGGGGAAGCTGCTTGTTTCATTTTTAATCTGCTTCGGGGTTTATGCTAGTAACGTAACGCTGTGGGGAGCAAGGAGAATAGTGAATGTGTTCTTAGCAATTCCTCCCTGTCACAAGTTCTTATGAGTGTTTTAGTCGACTCTTTTTACTTTATAAGTTTCTAAGGAGAAAGCTGAAAGCGAACTTGAGCTCTGTGATAGTGTTCTGGCACTCTGCTGGTGCAGAGGACGGCGTCTCTGACGTTCTTAATGCATAGCAGATGGCACATTTCAGAGAGTGCCCGGTGCTAGATATGAAGATGTCCAGAGTGGAATGTTAAACAGAGCCCCAGCCTGGCTCTGCGCTGCTCCACGCATGACCTCAGCAAAGTGCACTCAGTTGTGCCTTATGTGGATTAGCTGATAACTTAAAATGTTTTTGAACTTGTAAGCAAATGCTGGAGATTGTATGGCCCGACTTCCTGTTTTATTTCCTTCTGGGTCATAGAGTTGGGGAAACTTAAAATTCTCAAGCAGTTTTTTCCCTCCGAGGAAGAAAGCTGGATGAGGTTACTAAGCAAACAAAGTTTCTGTGCAGAGAGCACTCCTAAAGGCTGAGTTCTGCCCCGGAATGGGATTTTATAGTATCCTTGGCTGTTTCTAAATGCATTTTATAGTGCTGAGAGCTCTTAAATGATAGCAATATGCAGCTTTCTCACTACACTTCTACCATCTTTGATGTTTCGTGGCCATATCAGCCTTTCTTTAACCCCCCCAGCTGTGTGAGCAATCGTTTTCAGATGTCTGTGCTACAGAAGCCTTAACTTCTGCCTGAAACTGTGAAACTGTGTACTCTAAAATTGATGGGTGACAACCTTGGCAGTTTAGAGCCAACCCCCCCGCTCCCTCCCCAAGTCCTGAAACAACAAACCCCACAACAAACACTACCAGAGTGAGCATTGCCAAGGCAGGCAGAGCACGTGTGATAACGCGGATGGTTGAAGAGTCAAAGGCTAGAATTAAACTTTTAACTTCCAGGTTAAAATGATTCATGAGTGCAAGGTTAGTTGGCCACCTGAGAAGAACTTCGAAATGATAATTTGTTATTGCTCAAGGTTAGGGGGAATAAATGGATGTTGTTGCCAGGTTTCGTTGGTGACGGTGGATGTAATAAAGACCCGAACTTGTCTTGCCTCTTGCAGGAAGCTGAGCCAGGAGAGCAAAGCTCTTGGCCTTGGCATGTTAAGTGTTAAAAAGACTGAAGGAGAATGTAATCGCTGTGCTCTTGGTCTTGTTCTTGTTGGTGTTATTTACAGATTTAAATTTTAGATTAATGGCTGCATAAAGAACAATAGTAGCGATTTCACAATATTCAGTTTGAATATTTAACCTCAGAGATACCACCACTGATAAATATGAAATGGAGCTGTGTTGGATGGTTTGTTTGGTTTGGTTTTGGGTTTTTTTTAATAGTGTATTATTGGAGCATTCAGTGGCTGAAACCTTTTGGAAATAGGATCCAGAGGATTGCGTACTAACACGTTAATCCATATTTTTAAACACTGTCTCCAGCTTTCATCCTGTCAGTCCATTGTGAGCCTTTCTCTGTTTTTATAGTGTTTGCTGACATCTTCATTATAACTGTGTGTTAAAGCTTGTGTCAATTCTTTCAAACCTAGAGATCTACTAATTGCACTAACTTGAATTTTCTAGAGTAAGCAGAAAAAGACTGAATTCCTCCGAGCCTAATTCTGCTCGTGGGTGAAACATCAGTCAGCCACAGGGCATATCAGAGGATCTCCTTTTTCCCTGTGGTCCACAGCAACCTGTAACTATTATGACATAGCAATGGGTTGATGTGTAGTCTCTGACTAGGTATGTTTAGCTTGTAAATAAGACCAAATTGATTATATCTGAAGTGATGAAAATATTTTTCATCTCGGAGAGGTGTTTATGTGTTGGGAAAATCATTTTAACAAGTTTCTTGGTGGCCACACACCGAGTGCCTTTTTCAACTGTTATGCTCTAGAAAGGTATTTACTTCTTTCTGCATTCTCTTGAGCTAAAAATTCCACATACCTGTTCAAGTCGGAAACTTTTTGCTTTAATTAGGGAGAGATCTAATGGCACCACTTAAAATGTTTTGCCACTAAACTTTTAGAGTTATGTTTGGACAAATGTTACAGATTGTTTGGGCTAGTGGAGCCAAGTTAAATATTATTCAAATTTGTGTTAATATGAAACCCAGGAAAACTGAAAATACGACATTAAAGAAACAATGGGAAATATCTTTAGGGGGTAAAGAATTTCTTATTGAGAAGTTCTATTAAATGAACCAGCTTTGATTACTGATTCCTCATGAGGAATGAGATGCAGGCTTTGAAGGTGCACTTTTTGTAAGGAGTTGTACCAGTGATCTCTATCTTGAGGGAAATCCACAGATTAACCAGTGATCATAGAAAGAGTTGTAAAACTATCCTATGCTTTTTTTTCTTTAACACAGATTCATCTTTAATGGTAGTTTTGCAAATATAGCAAGTGTTGCTAGGTTTGGGTTGCAGTTTACCTTGTTATTACACTCCATGATAGTCTTCTAATTGTGTGGTAGAGATTGAAGCTTTGGCTCAGTTCACTTTCATGAAGAGCTAAAAAGAGGTGAACACCATGTCCTGCTGCACAACCAAATTGCTCAGTCTGGACAGTGTAAGTGGTGAAGGAAAGAAATACTTGTCACATCCAGGAGTAGCTTCCAATTATCTTCATTCTGGAGAAGGAACCCTTGGGATAGCCATCATCTCACACAGGAGGAGAGACAGAAATTAGGTCTGAGACTACTCCTCAAGTCATAAGATGTGATGCTCCACAGAGGCCCTTGAACAGGATGATAGAGCAGACCTTGTGGCTTGTCATTAGCATTTACTGGTCCGTTCCACGCTGGGGAATAATATCCTACCAAAAATAGGAGTGTATAGACCTTTTGTGTTGAGGAGAAAACTAATAATTTAGTAGTTAACTTGATTCTTTTATGCAACTGATAAGACCTTCTGTCTTACAAAGACAGCCCATTTAAAGATATGTAAATACATCCATGAAAATCCCAAATATTTTACCTTTCTGAAAAGTTCCTTAGGATTGCCTGACTGAACTTCTGTATTTAGAATTTGCTTAGCTGTGCTTCAGTTCTTGGTTGTGATTATTTATATAATTTTTCTTTGGTGGAAACGTTTTCTGTCTGTGTAAAATATTATACGTGCGGCCTTTTCTGACACTTAATAATGCTGATAGTCAAGTTTAGTTTGAGATGATGCGTAGACGCAGCGAGCAGATCAAAGCCACCTGTCTGACAGTTGTATTTTTGAGCTCTGAAAGGAACAAGTGATATGGAGAAACTGCTCAGGAGCCTTCTGGGTCAGTGTCTGCTTTCTGTTTGATTGTAAAGCCTGAGCCTTTGTGTTTTCCCTTCCATTCGTGTCTGGTTATCTCCCTGTCTGTTAGCACCACATTATGCACGTATAAAAGTTTCTTTGGAGAATTTAACCATGTTTGAGTTCTTGATGAGTTTATGTTCAGTGGCTTAGAATCTTGTTTAATTGATAGCTCTCCTGTGTTAGTCATTGCTTTGTTTTGCCTTTCATTTGAGGGATTCTTTACCTTGCTGAATTGATAAAGCTTGCAAGACTAATCTGTTCTTTGCTTTGTCTGAGCAGCTAAATTGAGTGTGTCCACATTTAGGTGCAATTTAGAAGCTTAGTCATCTGCTTACTCCTGAGTTTTCATGTGGTCTGGGGTTTCTGTTACACAAATATATTATTATGGTGGTTTTGGCCTAGGTGCATTGAGCTGCTGAAGTCACACTGGCTTGTAATAAGTCTTCAACTTCCTCAAGTTTGTCTCCAAATTAATTCTAAGCTCCTGTCTTGAATGCTTCCATATTGCTGCAGAACACGCTGTTAAACACATGCAAATATAATTATAGTGACTCTTACACTGACATTCTGTTTTTCTAGAGCTCTTCCCACTAGGGATTACCACTCATTTGTTTGTGCAGTAATAGTCTCCAAAACCTTGCATGGAGCATTTCTCAGATAGTTTTTTCCCTAGGTCATGTGTCAGTAAGTAGATGTGCATGGCTTTGGTTTGGAAAAGCTCGCTCTCAGAGGGACTGATCCTGGGAAAATTAAGCTGAGTCGCTTAATTTAATGTGGATACTTCCCTTTATTAATGCAATGCTGACCGGGTGTGCTTGGCTGGACATTGCCCTGTGCTTGTGTAGGATCAGTCTTGCACTATTAAATCTGTCCCCTCGTTTTGAAGGGATGGAAGCAGGAAGGAGGATGGAATTAGCAGTTGTAAATTGGTAGCTACGGAAGCAAAGAGTGGCCATTGTTGTGTTGTCTGTATTTATTTGCAGAAATTTGGATTATATTCTGAGATGAAAGACCAGACTATTTCCTGCAGAATTTTTTAATGAGTTGTTCTGAGATTATTCTGTTGGTTTTTTTTTCATGTTTTTTAG